GTCTTGCTTCGCCAACCTGCTACAAACCAAGTCAATAGCAAGAGAATTCCTGAAGTAGAAAATACGAATGTCAAGAGCTGCCATGAGGGTCGGTCATTTGGGATGTAATTTTGGAGTTCCAAATTCCGAGGCCAGTATGGGTGGTGGACAACATCGGGTTTTGCTTCCAGAACCATAGTGGGTTGAGAAAGTGTGAGTTGAGCCAGTAAAAAAGGCAAGGGCTTCTTCTGGTAGAAAATGACCCACCTGCATTAAATACAGAGAACTAGTTAAGCACAACTTATGATCAGATTCTTTCAGTTTGACAAAATAGAAACAGAACTTATCCTAAAATCTGAACATACAAATACACATATATACATATATAATATACATATATACATACATATATACACAGGGCTTTTTTTGTCATAGAATGCATGGAACGGCGTTCCGGCACCTTTTTTTGAATGGAAGAACTGGTTTCTTCTAAGCTGTCAGCACGAGTACAGGTATGGCAGCAGAGTGATTTTGCAAGGCCTCCGGAGCCCGGATCCATGGCCACAGAGAGATTTTGCAGCCCCCCAGTGGCCTGATCTGGGCTCTGGAGGTCTTTTCCAGGCCTCCAGAGCCCGGATTGGGCCACTGGGGGGCTGCAAAATCGCTCCACAGCCATGGATCTGGGCTCCGGAGGTCTTTTCTACCCGTATAAGCTGCCCAAAGTATTTCCCCCCTGTGGAGAGAGGGAAGGGAAATTCTATCCCACCCTCTAAAAACAGCGGCTACTGACTATCCAGGGGAGTTTAAAATGCTGAAAGAATAACCTGATTCTAACTGGATTTCTATCTTTCTAAAATTTGAGGATTAAAAGATTTCTTATTCTTATTGAAGATTTGGGTTTTTGTAGTATTCTGTATAGTTGATTCTTTAGTTATAATCAAAGTTTGAGCTTGCATATCTGAGCTGCTTTCCCTAATTTTTTGTAAAAGGTCTCATTTCATCACCAACTGTTAAAAAGAGTTTGATAAGTTGCTTTTAGTGTATCAAGAATTTGTGCCAAATTTTCCTCCATAAGAAAAGTCTGTTCCTGGTCTTCTTCCATAATGATGAATTAAATTAGAAGCTTTTACAGGTTTTTTTCCCCAGTAGATAAAGAGCACAGCTAGGTCTCTCACAGCTGGTGTTCAAGGTTGCATAAATCTTATCTTATTTTATGGGCTGTCAGCCAAGTCTCTTAAAGAATAACAGATTGCAGTTTCAGGTTTAACCACAAGATGTCACACCACTGTTTAAAAAATTCCTTTGAAACTCAAAAGTTATTTTAATCCTTTCAGTTTTTCTTCTATTTTATGAGGAAAAACCCCAATCTTCAATAAAAATAGAAAGTAAAAAAAAAAGATAATAGAGAACCTTTTAATCCACCAATTTTAGGAAATAAAGTTCCAATTGGAATCCAATTATTTTTTCAACGTTTTAAACTCCCCTGGATAGTCAGTCGCCGCTGTTTCTGGAGGGAGGGCTAAAATCCCCCTTCCCTCTCCACAGGGGGAAGAGTACTTTAGCAGCTTCTGTAGGTAAAAAAAGAAGTTAGAATATAAGAGAGGTAGATCTCACCCAGTCTCTTCCATGCTGCTTTAATGTTGCCTGATGGTAAGTGTGACTTTGGCTGTCCACAGCCTAGTGACCGGCCATATTGCTATGGCTGGTCTTTCATCCGCCAGTTTGGAGGGAACACCAGCTCTAACGGGAGAGCTATCGCTCTCCTGTGATCCAGCGAAAGCGCCTCCTTGCTGGTCACCTCTTCGGGGTGACTTTTTGACCCTTTTAGGGGCCCCCAGCGATGCGAAACTGGACTAGGAAGATGGAGTTCATCTTCCAAGCACCCATGGCGGCTGCATCGGCAAACCGGTAGCCCTTCCGCTCAATCTGGGGCAGCCCTCCAAACCGGCGGACGAAAGACCAGCCATAAAAATATGGCCTGTCACTAAGCTGCAGACAGCCGAAGTCAAACGTACCACCAGACACCTATAAAGCAGCGTGGATGAGACTGGGTGAGATCTGAACCTCTCTTCAATCCTAACTATTTTTTTACAGAGATTTTATTGATTTTCTTTTGCATACATGTGTTAATTTTCCAATCAACGAACTGTCTGGGGTTAGCTATGCTAATACATATTCGATTACTAATCCTTCATTCTTTCCTCTAACCAATGATAAAATAAGTCCCAAGTTTGATAGTAGTCTGTGTCTTGTTTATCTTTCAATCTCATAGTTAATTTGTCCATCTCTGCGCATTCCAATATTTTTCTGATTATTTCTTCTTCTGATGGCCATCCTTCATTCTTCCAATATTGCGCACAGATTATTCTCGCTGCTGAGGTAATGTGTAAAATTAAATATAAACTCTGCTTATTAATCTTTTCAGGTATTATACCTAGTAAAAAAAGTTCATGTTTAAAATCAACATGTTCACCTAATATTTTTTCTAACCACGTATGTATCTTTTCCCAATAAGCCTTAGCTTTGCCACATGTCCACCAAATGTGATAGTACGTGCCTGGGTTGTTCTTACATTTCCAGCATCTATCTGACATATTTTTAAACATTTTTGCTAATCTTGCTGGTGGCAAGTGCCATCTATGAAACATTCTATACAAGTTTTCTTCATATGACGTTGACATTGTTAATTTGTAATTTCTCTCCCATAGCTTTTGCCACTTTTCTAGTTCTATATTGTAGCTAAAGTTTTTCGCCCATCTTATCATTGTTTCTTTGACTTGTTCACTTTCCATTTCCAAAATTAACCCATATAAGCTGCCCAAAATATTTTTCCCCCTTGTGGAGAGAGGGAAGGGAAATTCTATCCCACCCTCTAAAAATAGCAGCGACTGACTATCCAGGGGAGTTTAAAACGTTGAAAGAATAACCTGATTCTAACTGGATTTTTATCTTTCTAAAATTTGAGGACTAAAAGATTTTTTATGCTTATTGAAGATAAAAAAAAAACCTAAACAGTATGGGTGACATTTTGTAGCTAAACATGATATTATATCTATTAGAGGACTGGAGGCTAAAACATATAAGGAAGGGTTGCTGGACTTGGGTATGTCTAGTTTAATGACATACCCAATTCCTGCGAATCCCTTGGACTGCAAGGCGTTCAAACCAGTCAGTCCTAGAGGAGGTCAACATTGACTGCTCTTTAG